CATCAAATACCCATCTTTTGGGAAATTAAACAATATTCATTTGTCAGTAGACACTTTTTCAGGTGCAGTTTTTGCTTCTGTCCACTCAGGAGAAACAGCTAATCATGCTTGTCAACATGTTCTACAAGCTTTTGCTTCATTAGGCATGCCCCAAGAAATAAAAACAGACAATGGCCTGCATACACAGCTAAAAATTTGCCACATTTTTAATGGATGGGGCTGTTCATCACACTTTTGGAATTCCCTACTCTCCCACAAGTCAAGCAATTATTGAAATGACACATCACACTCTAAAACACATTTCAGACCACCAAAAGGGGGAAATAGGCCAAACCACCCTCCAGATGAGGTTGAGTGAAGCTTTCTATGTTTTTAATTTTTTAAATAGCTCATTTGTAGAACCCAATCCACCAATTTTTATACATTTTTCAAATAACACAAAAAAAGGCTAAACTGAAAGAAAATCCTCCAGTTTTAATTAGAACCCCTGAGACAGGACAAATTGAAGGTCCGTTTCACTTAATAACCTGGGGCAAAGGGTTTGCTTGTGTTTCCACAGGTGCAGGACATAAGTGGATTCCAGCAAAGAACATGAAGCCATATCACGCACAAGAGCACACTGACAATTCTGCAAGCAGGGAAATGAGTATGCAGATATGAGCCGCACAGAGATTACGGCTCATGCCTGATGTCCCCTTCCCAACCGGCAAAAACCGTGAATCTTGGGTTTTACATCAATGTTAAAACTCAAAAAATCATTGGTATCATAGAACTCTTTGGCAAAAGCAAGTGTCCATTGTATTAAGAAGAAACCAAATATATCCAAATTTGCAAAAGGGAGTGTAAACAAGACAATTTAGTACCTTATAGTTGTCCAGTCCCTGGACAAATTTGGGAAGACACAAAAGCCGAATGTACCAAAATATTTACAAGAAAATTAAGACACCGGCAAGTCTTTTGCCAAGAGCAGCTGAACAAAAACACAGAGTTAGATCAAGCAATATATTGGTCCTTGATAGTTTTGCTTGCTTGCTTTTGCAGTGCATATATGCCTGTAGGTAAACCAAAAACAAATGTTTGAGTTGCTTTAGCCAAGTCAGCAGGCTCAGACACCATATGTTTGACCTATTTAAGCCCAGACAAACCCTTTGTGAGCTGTTTGGTCAGTGTGCCACTGCCAGCAAAGTAGTGGCCCATGCCTAACCACGACAACTATTAACATGCAGTTGCCAGTGAGACAAATTGGGCCCCTGATCTTCTTAAAAAACCCTTTGAACCTCAAGGATTGGAAATTCTTGGTTCTTTGGCAATGGAATTTTGTGCTGAGTTTCAGTATCAGGGAGATTCACAATTAAATGTTACTCCCCATCATCCTGTGTGCAGAAACTCAAGTTTTTGGTGCAATTGTACCACTCCTGTGCCCCCTAAGGGTAAGACTGTTTTATTGACAAATTCCCATGGAAATTGCCAAAAGGGTATTGGCTCATTTGTGGAGATAGAGCCTGGCAGGGCATTCCCTCAAAAATTAAAGGTGGCCCATATAGCATCGGACATCTCACTGTGATAGCACCTAGTATTAAAAAAGCCATCAAGAAAAACATAGAGGATGAAATCTGCCTATCATTATGAAGAAAACTGTAATAGCAATTTTAAACCTGGAGCCCTGCAAAACAAGTTGCATCAGGTTTGTTTTTACCTCAACTTGCCTCAGCTGTAGTATTGAAACAATTGGACCGATTGGGGTGTTGGTTGAGCAAAGAAATCAATACTACTTCCACTGTATCACTCCCAAAGTGATATGATGACAGATGTTAGTGCTGTCAGACATGCAGCCTTACAGAATGGAGCCACCATTGATTTTCTCTTACTGGCACAGGGACATGGTTGTGAAGAATTTGAAGGACTGTGTTGTCTGACCAGAATCCATCTGATTCAGAATCCATCCATAAACAGCTTCAAAAGCTGAAAGATTTGGCAAATCAAATTAAAAAAGATGATGGATCCTGGTTAGACAAATTGTTTGAAGGATGCAACTTTGCAAACTAGGTTTAAATGTATTGATTGTTATGGTAGCAATATTAGTAATAGTGCCTTGTGTACTTCAGTGTGTGCAGCAAATGATGAATAAGACCATCAAAGAAGTTTTTACAGTTCAGAAAAGAGGGGGAGATGTAAGAAATAGATTTGTAAAGGATTCTCAAAACCTGACTGAAAGCTGACACAGTCTTGTACATTTGTATGCAAACTCTGAGATAAGGTGTGCTGGCTTAGAAAGGCTATGGAATAGAGATGACATTGTTGAGAGAGAGATTGAACTAGAAACAAGTTTCAGACAATGGCCTTGCAAAAGGACCTGATATTTTGGAGAATTAGAACTGTGAAAGATGCATTGTAGCAAGACCACATAGGTGATTGGTGTTAGAAGTATTAGCAGCATTGTGTGGTAAAAGATAATAGGCTGAAAATTATTTATAAGGTGTTGCAGCCAGGAAATAGTTTGGTTTCTAATAGAATGGCATTGAGTTTTACATCTCTTATATCTCACCCTTCAACAAGACTGATGTTGGAATAAATTATTTTAAAATGCCTCTCATTTGCCCTGTCTCTGTAAAGTTGGGATTTTCCAATAGATATATTCTAGTCATAGGCTTTCCACAAAACGAACAAACATTTCTTTTTGTGCTGTGTGCCCAGATAAGCTGCTACATGACCACTGTCTTGACAGGATCGATGCTGAGGAGATGCAGCCTCATAAATGGAGGCAATGTGCTCCTGGTTTCACTGGGGCCATTGTGAGGAGCTTTAAGGGCTGGTCTCTGAGCCAGAGTGAGTTTACGTTCTGACTCACCATTAGCTAGTGGTATGGAGTTACATGTATTCTGTTATACACATTTGAAAGAGTAAATCTCCTTAAGTCCTCTCCATCAGTATAGTTGTGCTTAGGCTCAGAGGCCTTTTCCAACAGTGGACTTCAGCCCTTTTTGAGTTTCAGGTGGAGGCAGATGCAGAGGGACTTTCTACAGCTGTGTCTTGCCAATGAAGTGTGCAACCCACATCTCAGCACAAACGGAATATGGAATCTGGCTGAACACTTCTGGAGTAAATGGGATGCCTTTGCCTTCGAAGACAGTCGAGGCAAACTATTTAAACTGTGTTATACAACGGGCTTTATTAATACAGGAATTTTAATTTAGCACTGCGAAGGTTATGTGTGCTGTGTGTTACATGCTTCTAGGATGGAGGTTGAGTTTTCCTCAGGGTGCAGCTGGTTGGAAGCACAAGAAACTGTTGTGGCTTCTGGGGTTTGAGCAGATCAGCCAGGCAGCAGTGGACCATGAACAAAGCAATGCAGGACTGGAGGGTCAGCAGTGACCGGTTCTGCTGCTGGGAATCCAGCTGGGAGAAGGATTATTTCTGCATAAGGGAGTTCCCTGCAACTCTGATGCAGTGCTCACAGTGCTTCATCCACTAAGTGAATGTAGCAAAAGAAGTACTGAATCACTTGTTTGTAAATGGGGTACCATAGTTTTTTTAATTGTGATATTATTAGAGAACCTTCTCAAATGAAGACAGTAAAGTTTTAAAGCATCTTCTGAATCAAACTATTGTCTCCTATGACAGTTTCTCTCAAGGTAGTGATAATGTTGGTCACATCTTCCAAGAGCATCTTTGAAAGCAAAAGACTTCTTTTTATCTTAGATGCCAGTTACGGTGGTTGTGTTTCTCAGTTAGTCAAGGTGGTTAATACAAAGCACTTGACCTCATCGGCATTTTCAGCTACTGGTTTTACAGCCAGGTGTTTGCTGTCATGAGTTAGGCTTTTGTTAATTAGGTCTTCATATATTCTGCAAAACACTAACAGATTTGTTCTCCCTGCACACTCTTCATTCATTGCTACAGAACAGCAGAAAACAATTTCGCTCTGGCAGTGTATTTATTACAACACCATATGTTCTGTGTTTACTTATGCTGTACAATTAAGTGATTGTACTGCAAATCATGGCCAAGTTCCTGAATAGCTGGAGCCTATACATAAGCTCTTAAATTCATGTTTAGGTTCCCAAATAGAAGGTCTCGTTTTCAAGTATTGAGTCCATCCTGACTCTTGCTGAGTTTTTTGACTCATCTTTGCTATAACATGCTTAACTCTCTGTAGCTGATGACTAACCTGTGTGAAGTAGGGTTCATCAAAAACCTGATTTTGCTCTCAGTATTATTGGAAGCTCTTCAGTGTCTCTTAGTGAGGGTTTTTTTGAGGTTTTTCAAGGTTTTTCACCAATGTGTGAATGCAATAAGGCTTTCTTTCCTTTCTCTATGTTAAAATTTCAAGGAAATTCTGATTCATTATTTCAGGAGCTGAGTTAGATTCTTTCCTCTGGATCATTTTAAAAGAAATTGTTTAAGCATCAAATATGTGTGCTGGCTGAAGCAGCAGATGTGTGAAAGGGTGGGTGTTGCTTTGCTTTATGCTGCTTATCCTTGGGAAGAGGATGCTGTCCTTAATCTGTGGGCTCAGAAGCACAGCAGAAGGACCTAGAATAAAACAATGACAATATTCTGTGAAAGTATATCATGCACATGGATGCTTCTGAAATATATTGCTGAGGATAACTTAGGCTTTCTTTTCAAAAGAAAATCATACCAATGCCTTTCAGAAAAAAAGAGATCTTATGTGATGAGGGGAAAAGGAAGGAATTATTCCTCATAGTGGATAAAAGTAAATAAATTTAGATGGCCCTAGGAACAGGAGGATTTCGTGCATGGTAAATCAGCAGAGTGATCTGGCACAATTGCAAAGGTGACTTGGAAAGAATTTCCCATTTTCTTTTCAGATGTCTTTCATTTTTTTCTAATCACATGCCTTGATGTACCAAAATTTGAGGCATTTTCAGTAATTAATATGCATTTTTTCTCACACAGAGGCTGCTCTTGAGAAAATAATTTTGTTTTGTAAACGTTATTTGTCTGAGTCTGACTGCATGTTTCCATTCCCCTTGCAGAGGCACAGCAATAGCTGGAATTGTTTTCGGAATAGTATTTATAATGGGAGTGATTGCTGGGATTGCCATCTGTGTCTGCATGTGCATGAAGAGCAACCGTGAGACTCGAGTAGGGGTCATCCGAACAACACACATCAACACCATCAACACATACCCAGGTGAGGAAGCAAAGTGACAGCCCTGCAAGAGTGCCTGTGGTCATGGCAGGAGTGTTATCCTTGGATAGTTACAGCTCCACACTCATGATCTGATTATTAAATTTCTTAGAAATGCCTCCGCCCAAATTAAGATGCAAACGAGACCATATGCCAGTGACAGTAGTATGGGTTTTGTTTGACATGAGAGAGAGAGAGAGAGAGAAAGAAATAGAAAATAGGTGGGGAGACAGAAAGGTAGGTGACAGAGATGGAATAAGGAAAATATCATCACTCTGTGGATCCCAACTATGTTCCATTGATCCTCTCCAGCTGGTCTTCTTGGTGGTGATGGTTCCCCTGAAAAGTATAGAATACGATGGCCTAATATGGCTCAGGCTAGGTAGGAAAACCCAGGCACCTCCCTGGGGCAGGGTGAGTTTGCTATTGTCTCTTACAACAGACTCTGGGTTCATTGCATCACGTGCAGTCCTGTGGTGCAAGGCTTCAGGAATGACTCTGGGGGGTACTTTGTTGGGGGAATGTCCCATGGATGTGGCCTGTGGGGTTGGGGGTTCCACAGCTGGGCCAGTCTGTGTAGGGGAGGATGGGTGTTCACTGCTTCTGACCAGAGGTTACACCTGAAACCTCCTGCCCCTCCTCGTTTTGAGGGAGAAGAATCTTTGCTGGGTTTGGCTTTTTTGTGGATACATTCCCTCAGCCTTGTTTGTTTTTCCCTAGGCCTGAGATGATTGAACAATAGCATCTTATCTAGGTGGTTTAACTTACAGTCTACAGTTCCAGTCAGGGATCTTCAGGGAGGCTTCTTTGGTTATAGCTTCTTTATACAGTTTTTGTTATAATGGGCAAAAATCTTTTATATCAATGTTTGAGGCATGAACTATTTCAGTCTCTGACACAAAGTAAATGAGGAATGTGACTACAGCAGGAGGGTCTTCTCAGTCTGGAGGGGAACAGCACAGCTCCTGCTGAGAAAGGCAGGACAGCTCAGTATGCAATGTCTGGCAGCACAGCTCTGTCTGGGAGGGTTTATTCAGCTGCTAAGTGGGCTAAGGAGATCTGGCCAGGTGACACACTTCACAGATGGTGGCTCATGGTGCCTGCAGGAGTGTGTCAAGTCCTTGCTTAGGGCAGTGCTGCATTTTACAGGGCAAACCATCTCCCTGTGCCAGAGGCTCTTTGGCAATAGATCAGTTGTTCTGTAAAGGACAATAAAAAATGTTTTTACAAATACATTAATGGTAGAAGGAAGGGTAAGACCAGCCTTAGTTCTTTATTGGATAAGGGAGGGAACTCAGTATCTGCAGATGAGGAGAAGGCAGGAGTGCTTAATGCCTACTTTGCCTCAGTTTTTAGTGGGAAGATGACTTGCCTTCAAGATACCTGTCTGCCTGGGCTGGTTGATGGTGTCAGCGAGCAGAATGGTCCCCCCATTATCCAAGAGGAGACAGTCAAAGAACTATTGAAATGCTTGGATGTTCATAAATCTATGGGACCTGACGGGATCCACCCCAGGGTAATGAGAGAGCTGGCAGATGAGCTTGCAAAGCCACTCTCCATCATTTACCAACAGCCCTGGCTCACCGGTGATGACTGGAAGCTGGCCAATGTGACACTGATTCTGTGAACCTGAGCTGACTGGTTTTTGCTCAGAGTTCACAAGCACTGCTTGGTGCTGCAGGATCCCAGGTGACTTCTACAAAAGCACATGGGCATCTCTGCAGGGTGTTCTGTACTGCATGTGCCAGGAGGGACTGCTGGCTAGGATGCTGTGCTCGATCTCTGCATCCATCTGGCATCATGCCTGAACTGGAATTTGGAATACACATTTGGACAATGGTTATAAAATCATAGAATGCCTTGGGTTGGGGTGGCCCTTAGAGATCATCCAGTTCTGCCCCCCCCCCCCCCCCCCCCCTCGGGGGGGGAGGGG